ATTCTAAAGATGCGTAACCATGGTAACTGAATGCCGCCATAAAAGTACTATGGGACATTAGTTGGCAATGTTAACAAATGAATTCATTAAATAGACACCCTAGGGATTACAAAAATGTATGTAACTTATTCACACCTTATGGGTGCATGGGAACCCCTTGTTCCTACTATACTAAGTGAAATTAGGAAGAAATGAAACATGACGTCCGATGACGTCATAAGATTGTCATGGTAAAAGGTTTGGCGGCTATACAGGAATATATAGCCGACCTTCAGCTCCATTGACTTCAATACAAATGCTTCGCTGGGTATGTAATACAATGCTATATACCCTTGTTGCAAGGATGAACCTGTTAGCCATTATCAGTACTTATTTCTCATCAACACATCTAAACAAACATCTGTTTTGTAAGGGCCTAACACTAAGCAGTAAGAGGGAATATCAAATTACTGTGGCTACTGAATTTCCTACAGTTAAACCTGTCATAGGCAGACTGCTATTTAGACACAACTCAACAGACATCTCATAAGGGCCTCCATGAGGGAATATCAAATTACCATAATCAACTGGCGAGTGGATCTACTGCAGTAAAACCTGTCATAAACAAACATACTAAGACTGGCAAAATGAAAAAATTGAAAGTATCCACAAAAACTCAATTTTTATACAACAAAAGTAACAAGGACATCTAGGAAATACCGAATGAGAAAAATGGTCACAATTTAAGATGTCTATTACTAAAAGGCATCGGAGATGTGTTCACATAAATGTGTTTTACTGTCTTAAGTCAAAGTGTCTACAGATTGTGGAATGCTTGTATAATATTAAAGAGTGTTATACAGTTGATATCAGTTGTGGAGTTAATACAGTATATATGAAGATGATTGACAATCACAGACCTTTGTTTCTCCCAGGATACAACAATGCAAATGACTCATAGAATATATAAACTTTTGAATTTACACTGTAATCACATTTTAAGATGTAACTGGAGAGAGGAATTTCAATTGTGATGTTTGTAGTAAAACATTCCTAACAAAGTCTGATCTCGTGGGACATTATGTCGTTCATACTGGTGAGAGGAATTTTGAATGTGATGTTTTTCATAAGACATTTAAACACAAATGTCACCTTGCAACACATTCAAAGATACTTACTGGAGAGAGAAATTTCAAATGTGATGTTTGTCTAAAGACTTTTATTTTGATGTCAGACCTCACAAAACATCATGTTATTCATACTTATTCATACTCATCATAAATGCATAGAAATGTGCATTTATAGCGAGGAACACCTTCAAATTCGTTGGTTCGAAAAAACAGAATATTTTCGTACCCCGTACCTCGATTACACTTCAATGATGGTTATTTCCCCCACGGGTCAGATTTCCCCTTACAATACAGTTATAAAAGCAAAGAACTCAAGAAATATGTAATTTATACTCGGGGGCGGGAATAACAAAAGTGAGAATGTTTGAGAATCTGAGGAAAGAAATAACATGAACACTATATTAGTATGGTTTTTATGTAACTGTTTATAACTGTCTATAATGTACTGCTTTTGTATATTTCACCATGTCAATTAAGTTATTCTAGTTGATTCAAATATGTTAATATAATCTGTATGATTTTTATATACATTATCAAAGCTTCATGAAAACCCCTCGTATATGTTTTATAAGTATAGAAGTTAAAAAGAGAATCAGATATAGCAAGCATCCCAACAAAAAATTGTTTCAATTTTAGAATATTTCTGGCTCATGTCATTCCTTTTCATGTCTATTTTTCTTAAAATAAACTATAGTGCATACTTTATTTCAGGAAAACTAAAGATGTTTACAATAACGTATTATTTTTCTTTAAGAATGGTTAACATTCTTATTATTTGCGAGAATTTAAACATTTTTTCACTCATTTTTGAACTTTGAATCCATTATAACTTCACCAATGTATAACATAGCGTGAATCTTTTGGGCGATATTGTATTTGAGATTGTAAGGAATAGATTGGTAGGTCAACTTTACACATTGCCTGTAATTTTTTCACCCCAATATATCTGATTCTGCCTTTAATGTTATCCTGTATTTTTTAACCGTTTGTAGAGTTATGGGAGGAGTATAGGATGTTCTATTTATCCCATAGATCACCTGAAAAAGCATTTCAAAAACACATGAACGCTCATGTTACAATGCTCGTCACCTTTGCGGGAGTTTTCAGATCCGTGAAAAAAGTGATATTTGTGGAATATTCTCCGTATTCCAAAGATATTGCTTTTTCCCACGCGTTTGCGAAATATCATTAATATATACCGTATACGTGTTATTCTACAGATTTGAACTCAACTATCGGATAAGTGTGAATCTCCATCCACTTTTGTGTAAATGTGAGGTTTTTGCTTTTTAGATATGATGTATCCAGATATCAGTATATAGCCACACAATATTGTAATCATTTATTTGCATAAAACTATAAATGGAACAATAAACTAAAAAACAAATTGTTCATGTTATTTTCTTTTGTTTATCATAATTGAGTAAAAGCAGAGTAAATTGTGCCTTCATTTAACCCTAGAAGCCCTAAGTGGGGGGAGGGGGTCAAAAAGACCCCCATCAGCCACAGAAATAACAGAAGTCAGCAAAATTGTACATAGGGAAATAATTGAAAATTATGTAATCATCAGCTTCCACAGACAAGTTGGTTATAAAGATTGTGATTTAGAATTTAACAAATAGTTCAGAAGACAACTGAATCGTCGATTTAATTCTCACTTAAGTTACAGAAACGGTTTTTCGAAAAACAGTTAAGATCTGCACTTTGAACCCAAACCGTGTATGTAACTTAAGCGAGGAATTAACGTCGTGGAGATTCTGCCTACAACACGTGAAATAAGGAAAAAACAAAAATCGTACCTTCGACGTTACCGAAACGAACCGTTATACTTCTTTGGAACATAATAAAAAAAATTGGAAAACAGATGAAACATTTTCATATAAATTCTGTTGAATGCCTTATTCCTTCAGAGAGTGTTGTAAACTTAACTGGCAGTTGACTTGTTTTGAAGATATCAAATTTCCCTACTTATAAAGAGAGTGTTCTATGTTTTCCAGGATGAGTCTGCATGAACATCATGTATTGGTCTTGGTATTGGTCACCACTTGTACTCGGCACTTGTTCGTACCATTTGCAATCACCTCACATCTCGTACTCACCACTTGAACTCACCATGTGCAGTCACTATTTGAACTCACCACTTGGACTCATTTCTTGCACAAACCACTTGTACTCACTACTTATACTCACCATTGCACTCACCTTGTGTTCACTAATTGCATTCACCACTTTTACTTATTACCTGCACTCACTACTTGTACTCACCACTTACACCCACCACTTGAACCAACCACTTGTACTCACCACTTGTATTCACTACTTGTACTCATTACCTGCACTCACTACTTGTACCACTTGCAATCACCTCACAACTCGTACTTACTTCTTTCACTCACTACTTGTACTCACCACTTGGAATCATTTGTTGCACTCACCACTTGTACTCACTACTTATTCTCACCATTGTACTCCCCTTGTGTTCATTAATTGCATTCACCACTTGTATTCATTGCCTGCACTCACTACTTGTACTCACCACGTACACTTACTATTTGTTCTCACCACTTGCGCCCACCATGTACACTTACTATTTGCACTCGCTTTTTGCACTCAACAATTGCACAAGTAGGGAGAATGTATTTGATTCCCTTTATGCAAAAATTTCTCGAAAGTTTTGGGAAATGTTATTTAAAAAACGTGAACAAATTATTTTGATTTGAACTTTGTATTCTAATTACTATTATGAAAATAACATGAAAAATCATCATGCGGATCTACATTCTAGTTATTGTTTTCAATCTCTAGTCGGAGATGAAAACGAGCGTTCTTATTTGATACTACCGTCTGAAGTCTTATTCGTTGAACTTCAACATGTTGGGATATAACGGCCGATTACGAAACCGACCAAATGAAAATCGATAATGAATATGCTAATTTATTAAATTAGGCTATAGTATTTCTTTATAATAGGTACATGTATGTCATTCGATACATCAATCCAAATGGTTTTCCTTTGATCGGATGCAAATGTATTCAAAGCTAAAATTCATGACATTTCCAAAGAATGTTCACTTTGAATGATTTATGTTCAATCAAGGAATCGTGCTGTAATAACTTGAGATAACTTTACAGTCGTCATAACATGCATGAGTCACTAGAGTAAATGGCATTAAATTCTCATCAGATAGAATTACACATTGTAATTATACTGTTATACAAATGGCATCGCCCAATGGTATTATGCCGTTGAGTAATTGTTTTCAACTTTAAACTCTCCGCCAAAAACATAATACGCCGAAAGTACGAACGTCTTTCAGTTTGGATTGCCGCTCAGAATTTGTGCCATTGTTTTGATTTAAGGATGTTCCCTGGTCAGATAGGAAAATATTCAATAGTATTTAACTTTTTCTCAAAAATGGTTTTCTGGGATTCTCACGGGCAACAAAGAATATTAAAACTTTAAAAACCATATGTTAGTGTGCTTTTTTCTGAGCAAGAGGCCTCTAAAGTGTCAATATTTGACAAAAGTGGGCGTGGCACTTTCTCATTGAAACCCATGTTAAAAATCAGGTTTTCACCCCAAAACACACTTTTGAATATTTAACTTTTTCTTAAACTCACAGAAACACTTAGTTATGCTATGTACTTCACATTTTGAAAAGAAAAATTAGGGGTTGGTGTTCATCGTTTTCAACTTCGTCCAGGGAACATCCTTAAGTATTTTAAGGTTGGCCTAATTACGTAAATCACCTTGCATTATAGACATAATATGACTCATGAAAGGCAATGATAAATGGCATATGGGCAAAATTTTTCAGGGATTCCCCCGGAAGCAAGATATACGTGCTATCATTCAATTAAAATACGAACTAAATACAATGTCCGTTCGCAAATTTCGTGCATTTTAGTTCCATTGCTTCACGCCAGGGTTAAATCTGAGCAGTGAGAGGAGGACGTCGCCCCGAATCAAGAGAACAGGTACTCGCTTTTATCGACGAATCGTTCGTGTAGATGATATCACAATGGATGGGACTATTCTTCAACGATTTTGGCCAGATGATGCGCGTAAAATTGGATCTTTCCAGCCTAATTAGAGGTGAGATTTTGCATTTTCCAAAAACCATGATCATCATCATGGCGCGATCATGGCGGCCATTTATCACTGGGGGAAAGTCCACAGGCCCCAGTATCCCCACACTGAAAGCAAAGCAAGCAGATCTTCTTATTATTGAGGTTGTGAGTGTTAACAAGAAGAAATTGTCAATTTGAAGCATAATTTGCAGTGATGTTGATAGAAATTTTAGAGTATGGGACACAGATCAAAAAAATGTCCCACTCCAACTAAAAATGTGGGTCATTTCAATTTTTTGGGGGACATTTTTTCTGTCGCGATTTAATAAAAATTTACTTGCCTTTCTATGAAGAAATGCTGCTAAGGTTAGATTGCCATCGCTGGCGATGTTTTTAATTTCTTTCTCAGCGGCATTTTTAAAGGGGCAATAATAGACTATATCCTATTTAGTCTGAATTATATTCAGACTATAAGGCACCTATGTTAAAGTTTGGTAATTCCAAACATTTGTTTACATAGGAAGTGCTATTCAAAATGGCCGATTGGGTAAAATTAATTTGCACATTTGCTACTTCAGCTAGCTTTATTTCCACTAGACAATATGATGTGTTACTTTTTATTGCATTTAATTGTACCTTACTATTTAATTGAAATTTTGTAATGTTTATTTTATTGAAAAAATGTTTCCTCCAATTGATAATTTTGTGCAAAAAATTTCACTGCAATTTCCACAGGAAAGTAGTACATCATAACAGACTGACTTCTGTCAGTCTGTTGGATACATACTAGGGGCAATAAGGCTTGTAGAGAGAAAATAGGAAAATTTAAACTTTTTCTGAGCTATCAAGGCAACAGTTGGCTTAACATCTTCTCCGACATACCTATTTTCTTAAAATGTATGGATAAACTATCAATTTCGGCATTAAAAAGTGTAAATTCAGTTCAAAGCTTTAAAAAGGGGACGTCCACTTTTATATTTTTAAGATCCACCATGTTTGAAGAGGAATATAAGCTGAAATAATGATTATCTAGGGGGTTTCTTTGTAGAAAATAAAAATAGATGTTAGTCTTGATAAAATATCCAAACTTAAATATATTTTGACACTGGTCCATGATCGTTGAATGGCCCCTCTGCACTTCTTGTTGCACCTTTAAAACCCAGACTCAGGAATGAAACGTTATTACTGATTAGTCAGTGGGGAGTTCTGCATGATAACGCTACATTCTTTCAACTAATCAGATTTCCTGTCTCTAAATTAGGCCAGTAATTGACTCCCAGAGGGGTCTAGCAATTGCAATCAATCACCGAAAGGTGAAAGGTCAAAAAAGATAAATAAAGCGCTTGTGAAGTTAGTTTCCTGAACACATGTCCAAACTCTGAGGCCTTAACTGTACTGGAACCGGACGAGGCACCATTTCCCTGTCCTTGTTCAACTCCTGGAAAGTGTTCATATTATTTCTAGACAGTGCATCAACACTAGTGTTATCAACCCCCGGTATGTGTGACGCTTTCAAGAGGATATTATGCTTAAGACAATGTAACACAAGAGGTCTTAAAAGAACCATAAGCTCCTTGTCCTTACCCCTTTATTAAGTACATAGCACACTGCATGGTTATCACATCTAACTAGAATACTCTTATTCGCAAATTTATCCCCCCATACCAAAAAGGCTAATGTTATCGGGTAGAGTTCCAAAACTGAAATATTCTTGGACTTCCATTGTAGAGGCCACTCACCATGCATATACTCACTATCGTAAATAACACCATAGCCCCAAGTTTGTGACGCATCTGAGATTAGTTTAAGCTGGTGCCTTTGTTCATATTCCTCATCCATGAAGCAATTTCTACCATTAAACACCTTGAGAAACTCTTCCCATATACTTAAATCTAGCTTTGACGGTTAGTCTCACATGCCAATGCAATTTTTGGGTAGACATCAAAAGGTGAATCAACCTGCGCAAAAATGTATTACCGAACAGTATGATAACTGTACAATGTTCAGCGGTGGCGGTAGGCATATATTTTTGTGAGTCATCATGACTCAGGTAGTTTCAAAAAAGTGAGTCACAAGAAAAAAACTTGAGTCAAAGCTATAAAAGTGTTTTTCTTGAGTAAAAATGCATACAAAATGTAGAAACCACATACAAAATCTATTTTTTGATTTTGTGCATACCTTTTATTGTACATAACAACTAACAATTAATTAATTAGGCAATTGCAAGAAAAATGTCACTATTAATCATCTGATTATCTGGTCCAGCGAGTCATGGGTGTGAATGGAGTGGGAGAGGAGTTTCTCCCTGTGTGGAGTTACACAAATTGGGGTCAAAGCGTTTCATGTTGAAATTCAACATTTTTGCAATCATTCCAAAGTCTAAAACGGCAATATAAGACCGACCACAATACTGGGCATCATTTAAATTGAATACGGTAGAATCTTGTAATTATAGCTGATCAAATGAAACCGAAAGTAGATTTGTTCTCATACCTAATTTATCATCATTATTACCCCCCTTAATGTGCGATCGACTGGATTTTCATGTGCCCATTACCTATCTTCCTAGGATCAGCTTCAGATCTAGTGATTCGAAGATCTTAACTTGAGGGAGTTAATTGAAAATACTTGGTGAAAACTTACGATAGATCGGTCACTGTGAGCACCATTGATAAACCTACTGCGCATTACATCTGCGCATGCTGATGAAGGGGACGGCTCAAGGAAACTTGCTAACTTAACGAAGGAATTTTGCGAACTTGCGAAGGAAACTAAAGGTTCGTAAATCTAGTGTGTGAACATTCAAGGGAAGATTTTATACGGTAATTTAGATAAATATACGATCACTAAAATCCTTAGAAGGGAGTATGAAATTAATAAATTATTGTTCAATGTTATATTCGTTTTATTGCATTTTTGATACGCCCCCTAGCAACGTGCTTAACGAGATAAACAAATCGAGGGATCGATCAATGTTTTCAAGTTTATCATTGAATCTGAACACAGGGCTTTAAAAATTATATGAAATACCGAAATGAGAAAATGATCGGTAGGAAGGAGGCTCGATTGCGCTGAACGAAATGTTAGATTTCCGGAATTAGCAAAAAAATTTGATCAATCACGTATTTTCACGTATAGGGATCAATTTAACCAAGTACCAAGCGGGGATTTTGCATGTGAAACAAACGTGCGTCAGAAAGACTCGGTAGACAATGAATATTTGCGTCAGAGTTGCAAAAATGTGAGTAAAAAACGTAAAAAATTGCGTTAACGCCACCTCTGATGTTGTAATAGCCCAATAATACTTAAAAGTTCTGGTTTTCTAACCTTGGCAACACCCTGAAACAACTGAATCTGGCTTCTTGCTTTCAAAAGTTTGTCTTCTGGGAGACGAATTTCCTGTGTAACAGTGTCAACTTCAATACCCAAAAATGTGAGCACCTGTGATGGGCCCTCTGTCTTATCTAGAGCTAGAGGGACGCCAATCTCTTGACACAAATTCTGAAATTTTATTTTTTATAAACTCGCGAAAAGTGCAAAAAGGTAGCACTCGAAAATTACAGGGAGTACAGTATGCTTTTATCTTATCTTATTTTGAGGAAAGGCACTAAGAAAAATACTTGATTTTTGCGTAATTGCTAGAAATTTTCATGTTTCTGTTTTATGCACATGGTTACTTTATTCAATGTCAATAAGTGTTTCAAGTCACAGGGCTCTCACCAGAAAAAAATTAGGGTGTGGTGCTTGTTACTGCGAATACGCGATTCGAAGCGTGAGTAAAGCCAATGCGTGAGTAAAGCGAACGCGCGAGTAAAGCGAACGTGCCAGCGGAGCGAGCCTAAGCTATTAAAAATATTTTGTAACTATATTCACTTGCAAAAGTTCTTTCATGCATAATTTTTGTACAATATAAGAAATATACATTATACCTTCTTCTATTGAATCACTGCAAACTTTCTGATTCTGAATAATAACCTGCTGGATTAGCAGGCCATACTTTTTAACTTCCTGTTTACTTGCTGAATTATAACCTGCTGGATTGGCAGGCCATACTTTTTGACTTCCTGTTTGCCGGCAAGTATATTCACTCAGTATTTCTCAAATACTGATGATTATCTGTCAATTTCACTTAAGATTTGTCTTCTCTAAGGTAGGTTAGTTCATGTTTTTTTATTCTGATTATGTTTTGAGTAGAATTTACAATTAGTTTTATAGAAGAGATAGGTTGAATTTTTTTCAATTTTTTTTTGATCTTGGCTATATTATACTCAAATTGAAGGAATTTTGGAGTGGATCACAATTATGGTATTATTCTTCAGATTTGTACCTCAGAAAATTCAAAATGGCTGCTTTGCAGGAATTCGCAATTCTAAAATCTAAATTTTTCAATTTTAACCAAAGTAATGAGTATAATTGATTGGAATTCGGTAATTGATATTTTGTTCGTTGGGATTTGCTACTCCACGGAGTTGCCATTGTCTAGTTAGTTTTTGAAATACTCTGGACTCCGGACAGTCTATTCCAGAACTATTTATTCCCATCATTATATTTTGTATTAAGGTGAGGGGACGATCTGTAGGGGGGATTGGAAGAATGTTCTTGAGTAGCATCATCTTCATTGTCACTGTCTGAATCATCATCAGCATCATCATCATCATTGTCCTCATCTCCAGAATCATAAGGGGGTGGGGGCAAGTCTACAGTTATGGGGACTATAGTCTTTTGGCAACATTCCAGAGATTAATCCAATGGTACAGTTGGAACGCCATAGAACTGTCCTACTCCGGGGTGTTGTGGTGCAAGTCCAGGTCTATAATTTAAAACACGCAAGTCACTGCTAGACCTGACTCTGCTAATGGCTACGCCAATTTGCCCTGGAGATTGCATGAACCTACAGTCTACAGTAACACTATTCTAGGTTAATCCCTGTGCCTTGTGAACTGTAATGGCCCAAGCTAAAATTAATGGCAACTGTGTCCTCGCACATGTAGTTTTCTTAGTTTTGTTACTGTATTTAGTAAATGTGAATGCCTTCACTTTGTGTGCTCTATATCCAGGCATGTCAAAGTCCACTTCAACATAATCTCTGGTACATAATTTAACGCTTCCACACGATCCATTAACGAGAATGTCATTCTCATTTCTTATGAGCATGACTTTCGCTCCTACTTTGAGCTCCAAATGTCTCATAGCAATAAACTTCTTGGCTACACCCCCCTTATCCTTGGCTTGGTAGTGGAACGATTCTCCAGGTATATTATCAAGCTTCTGCCTGTTATGCTCCATGCATAGAATATTTCACGAGTATAGATGTGTAGACTCTGGTAGAGGGTTCTTATCCAAATTATTGATAAAATCATTTGTTGCCTTGTCTGGGCTGCCACTTGCCAGTCTGTTTATGGCATGATCGAACTCACGATCC